GCCTCTTATGGATGGAGTGGTAGCTGGTTTGCCACTAGCTGTGTAGTTACGTCCCATGATAAAATATTGTTCTCACTAAACAAAAAAAAGGGGGATATATCATCGCCTCAAATGCGTCTGCACGAGTCAGGGCCCAACAGTCGGCGCCGCACCGGCAGAGCCGCCGGCGGTGGGTTCAGGGTCACCGGCGGCGAGATCGACGACATCGTCGTCGGCCTCCCGAAGCCGATAGAGTTAGATATCATTGTTAATCTAGATTATATAGCATATCTACCATCTCCTAGAGGTTTTCATCAACATGTCTAGATATTGTATTTATTCTTATGCTTAATGTTGCATCGATTGAGTTCGATCTATTAAGTGATATTCATAACTGCGATATCTAGTTTGTCTTATGATCGTCAAAGGAGATGGTATCGGGGTTTCAGCCGATCTTACCTCATTTAGCTACCTTTCATCCCTACATGTTCACTTGATATGCTAAATCTGCCCTTTATATTAAGATTTTATTGCATTAAAGTATATTAGACTTGCTGTTTGATATATTTTGTCTGTTTTAATATCTTGACATAGAGTGGTATCGGAGTACTAGCTGATACATGTTAGATCTATTTGATCGGCTATGCTACGAACGTATATATAATCTTCATCTTAAAGTACTTTTAAACATAAGTGATTTATACTGGCCAGATATTTTTCAAAAGTAGTTAAAATTAATTTCATATTTTTAGCTTTCTGTAAATCATACTCTAGAAAAATGATAGTATCATTAGCATATTGTAAGATAGATAAACCATCATCAACCAGATGAGGGACCACTCCAGAAATTTGACCATCATCTTTTGCTCTCTTTATTAATATAGTTAACGTATCAACAACTATATTAAAAACAATTGGAGATAACGGGTCCCCTTGCCTTAAACCCTTATATGTTTGAAAATTTGATCCCACTTGGTCATTCACTTTAATGCCAACATGTCCACCTTGGATAAAAGACGCAATCTAATCCCACCATTTTTGTGAGAAACCTTTCATTCTAAAAGTTTGTTGAACAAAAGACCATTTTACTTTATCATAGGCTTTATCAAAATCAATCTTAAAAAGTACACCACTCTTTTTTTCGGTGCAATTCATGTAGTATCGTTTCATGAAGAATAACAACACCCTCCATAATATTCCTCTCAGGTATAAAAGCCGTCTGTGTGGGACTAATAACCTTCTGAGCCACTCCAGAAATTCTATTTGTAGCAACTTTAGTAAAAATTTTGAAACTGATATTAAGTAAACAAATAGGCCTATATTGTTGAATTTTCAAAGCCTCTTTGCACTTGGAAAAAAAATAGTAGTACCAAAGTTAAGAGAGTAAAGAGGTAAATTACCACCATGAAAATCATTAAATAAATTAACCAAATCAGGCTTAATAACATTCCAGAAAACCTGATAAAACTCAGCTAGGAATCCATCCGGACCCGGAGCTTTATTATGTTCCATTTGAAAAATCGCATGTTTAATTTCCTCATAAAAAATCTTGTACTAAAGCATTATTTTCTAATTGAGAAACCTGGGGAATATCACTTATTTGGCTTTCATCTAACGTTAAGGAAGAAGCTTCGGGATGGCCAAAAAGACCTTTATAATAAGTGGTGATATGCGCCTTTAAATTCGCATCACCATTAACTACCTGATCACCATCCTGTAGCTGATAAATCCTTGTTTTCCTATGCTTACCATTTGCTACGAAATGAAAATATTTAGTATTTGAGTCCCTTTCAAAATATCTTTAGTGTTAGCTCGCTGATACCATTTAATTTTCTCTTCCCTTAGAAGACAAGATAATCTATTCCTCAAATAAAGTCTAGAATCAAGCTCTTCTTGAGTTAACAAAGTTGATTATGCCTTTTTATAATAAAATTTAGTATGTTTGGCCCAACCTCTTAAAAATTGTCTTAATCTACGAATCTTAGCCTGCCAACTCTCTAAAAGAGTATTACCATCAACAACACTTAACCAAATTTCCTTAACCATATCCACAAAAACATCTCTTTATAGACAGCCCAACTCAAACTTAAAATTTTTGATGGCGATTGGAAGTAGATGAAGAATTTGTTCCCACTCCGTCGACATTAACACTCTATCTAACTTCTCTGAAGAATTTTTTCCCACTCCATCGACATTAACATTCTATCTAACTTCTCATAAGTTGGCAGTGCTAGATTATTGGCTCAAGTAAAATTTCTTCCAGATATTAAAAGTTCTCTAAGATTAAGATCATCTATAATAGCATTAAATGGAAAGGGCTATCTATTATCAAAATTGTCATTATTCTTTTTCATAGGACTACATAAAATATTAAAATCACTACCAATGATAATTGGTAAGGTTTTATGACTGCACATATAAACTAACTCAGAAAAGAAAGAAAGTGTTCCTTAAATTCATTTTGTGCTGGCCCGTACACCAAAACTAAAGCCCATTTAAACTTATCAATCTTATTACAAAGATGAAACTTAATATAATAATCACCCTCATCAATTAAGCCAATATCAAAAGTCTGTAATTTTTATAGCCAAATAATTTGATGTGCTCAAACGCTAAACCTTTACTTGAAGCACCGCTGGTCAGATCAGCAGCTGCCTGAGGCGCAACAAATCTGAATAAAGAAGATACATTTAATTAGATAGAAGGTCCTTATTCAGAACAAGAGGAAACTGGCGAGAACTTTCACTAAATCAGATATGAAATCCAATTTCTGACGTCCATGAACCATAATACACTAAAATTTCGCCAGCATATACAAGGAATTTCAGTGAAAAAAATCCATTTCACCAAAAATTCTGCAAACCATATTCAAGGAATTAACAAAGCAATACACAATCTACATCAAACAGATAAGCAAGTACTGAATTGCAACAAACACATGATGGATATCTTGTGATTCTTGCGAGGAAGAAGAAGAAAGAATCGCTGCAGACCTGGAATCTCGCGTGAGTTGCCGAACAATTTCTGCCCGGCGTTGGTGGGATCCTCTCGCCTCAAAACCTACCGATTCAATGGACCTGAAGAGATTCGAATGTGCAAGAATTAGAACTCAGAATCAACAGTTTCAATGGATCTATCAGAAGGCACCTCGGCAGGTGCAGCATTGCCGAGCGGCGGATCGCATGGCACGACCTGTCTTCTGAATCATCAAGAAAACCATCAACGTAGATCACCAACTGATCCTTCTCGCAGTTGAGATATAAGAAAGAAGAAAGAATCGCTGCATCATTGCAGACCTGGAATCTTGCACGAGTTGCCAAACAATTTCCGCCCGGCGTTGGTGGTCTCCTCTCGCCTCAAAACCAATCGATTCAATGGACTTAAAGAGATTCGAATGTACAAGAATTAGAACTCAGAATCACAGTTTCAACGGATCTACCAGAAGAGCACGCAGCTCGGCAGGTGCAGCATCGCCGAGCGGCGGATCGCATGGCACGCCCTGTCTTCTGAATCATAGAAAACCATCAATGTAGATAACTAACTGATCCTTCTTGCAGTTGAGATATAAAGAGTGCACGAGCTCTGGATCAAGCCGCTTGGGCATCGTCGATCTTGAGGAGAAAGCCCCTCTATTTGCGATCGTGCCAAGAAAGAAAATAAAGAAAATGAACAACAGAACGTGAATGGGGAGGAGATGCGTGAGCTCTCTGTCACCTTATCAATCCGGCAGGTGCAACTGCGCAGCTTGGAGGAGGAGGAGGAGGCAGCTGCCGGTGGCCGGAGTGGTGCCCGCGTGGCGGAGCAGGAGGGGGAGGCGTTCTCGTGGGTGATTGTCGGGGGCGCCCACAGCTTGGAGGAGGAGGTGGCGCCGGTGGTAAGTGAGTCTGAGCGTGGCATGGAGGAGGAGGAGGCGGCGGTGGATCCGGTGGTCAGCGAGGCGGAGCGCGGCGTGGAGGAGGAGGAGGTGGCGCCGGTGGTCGGCGAGGCGAGGCGGGGCGCGGCATGGAGAAGGTGGGGATTGCGAGCGCGGACGCCTTCCCTTCTCTCTCTGCTTCTTGATTTCCCCCTCTTTCTCTCCCCCTTCTGTGTTCGAAAGCAGAACACCCGCGGTTGTGTTGCGTGGAAGAGGGGGATTAATAAGGGAGGGAAGCGAGGCTGTGAGGGGCACAGCACAGCTTTCCTTTGGGCTTTAGGCAACTGGGCTATGCAGGCTTGGTGGGCTGGAATGCTACTACCAAATCGGTTTTTAATCCGTGCTTTGAGGTTTTTGCCTTGTACACGAGGACATGTTCCTTTAGACGGAGCCGGCGGCGACGTTAAGCCCGAGTGACTAATAAAATATTTTTTTCAGGATCGATTAATTAATTTTTATAGGTGTTGATGGCGAACACGGTAGCGGTAGAGCTCGAGTGGTTGCCCAACCCGCCCGTGAGGTGACTCTGCCACTGGGTTTTTATAGGTCGATTCTTAACGCATGGTTTTATAAGTGTCCAATAAGACCTTTTTAATTAGGTCTAAAATTTTCAACTATTAAAACCAATGCACTATATTTGTATCAAAATATAAGAACTTAGTAGTATTGAATATGACACGTCCTAGGACTACTAATCTGGACATGACACCAGGATATGTCTTATCCAGTATTAGGCTAACACTAGCCTCTTATATTACGGCACAAAGGGAATATATCAAAGTCTCTTAATAGTTTGGATGACAGTTTCATCCTACGTGACATGTTAACTTGCTTATATGGTACTAGAAGAAAAACTTAATGGGATCTGCGTATAATCATACCAAATAATCAAGATAGAATCTGTTAAGTAATTACATCACTAATTTCTCCAAGCCAATTAAACTAGTAACAAGTAAATAATCAACCAACTCACAACACATGAAACCATTTGGTGCCAAGATGATACTCCAATCAACCAACCCGTCATATGGGACGCCATTATATAGATTTGATATTAAAATTTTTGCCCATTAGTTTCTCATTGATAATCACCGACACTTTCTGCCATGATCAACAAAATCCAAAACATTTTCTGATCATATACACTACCCACTGTGACCGTGGCCGTTCGATCAGCGCCGAGGAAGCGATCCAAACCGTTGCTCAGCTCCTTCTCGCAGAGTCGCCGTCCTCCCCTCCCCTCGCCGCCGCCGCCGCCGCCGCCGCGCCACCAAACACTCGAGCTCGCCGGACTTAGGGTTTTAGCTTCCTTGCCTCGCCGCGGCGGCCGCCGCCTGCCTAGGGGCTTATGGTTACTGCTGCTGCCGCGGCTGCATCGAACAACCACTAGAAGCTGGCTGCTTAGGGTTCTACTAGCTTCCTGCCTCGCCGCCGCCGCGATGGATGCGCTCCGGGAGGCAGAGGCCAAGCTGACCGTGTACGTGCACCCCTCCAACGCCGCCGACGTCCGCCGCGCCGTCGCCCGCCAGCTGAGCTCGCTCCTCTTCTCGTGCGTCCTCTCTACTGCCCCCCTCCTCATCCTCGTTCTTGGCTCCATGCCATGCTAGTTTTCTAAAGACATTTATAAATTAAATTACGGTACAAAAAGAAGAAAGGAAGGTGAAATGGGAGTCATAGGGACTGCGATTTCTCATGGCATGATGGTTCTTGATGCTTCCAAGCTTCCACGAGATTCGCTTTTTCCCCGCGGGGTGATTGATTTTCATATATGCAGGTATGAAGATCGCTTCGATGGCGTACTATTGGCTCATGAAGCAACTGTAGAGAGTGAACAAGGCAAAATCCTGAATGGTTTGGTACCATACTTTGGCGTGCCCGTGCACGCAAATCTGCTGCTTTACTCTCCGAAACCAGACATGATGCTGGGTAGGTTGTGTTATTACAGAAGCCCTTAACTTGTAGAGTATTTACACTGTCCTGCTTAAGTGCATTTTTTGTATCAGCTGATGCCTGCATGTTATGGTGGCTACACAAATTTGCGGCACTTGAGCAGAACATTTTTCATATTGTGTTGTATCAAGTGTGGTGTTGTTTTGCAAGTAGATGGCTCCATTTGTTATATCTTTTTTCAATGGAACAACCAATCTGGTAAATTATGGAACATGTGATTCTGAATTTTTTTTTCCTTATTGTTTCCTATTAGAAGGGAAGGTTGAAATGCTTGGAAAGGAATCAATACATGCCATTGTATTAGGGGTATTTTCAGCCGCCATCATGTTGGATGATATTCATGAGAAGTTCAAGTTCAAAAGAGTAAGATCAAGTGATCAGCTTTTCTCTTCATAATGATTAATGATGGTTTGAAAGTACTCTCTGTTCTTTTCATTGTGACTTTCAAATTTATAGATGAAACTCTTTGTGTCTCTAGTGTACTAATCGGTTTTATTGGTAGCATCCATTTTTTATGTGTGCTTCAATGCTTCACAAATTGTATTCAACAAAACAACTGCCATGTGAAAGGGGGAACATAGCTTGGCAGGAACTGTAATAACTAAGTTCAAATACTGTTTGATCATTGTTAGTAGTTGGAAGCATATCACTGCTGTTGCACCGCTTTCAAGTGTTTTTTTTTTTGGAAATATTAGGATCAGTGCTTACTAAATGACTAAATTTATTGTGGAAAGAATTGATTGTGGGGCAGTCCATTCAATGCTTCACAAATTGTACGTTTTGTGACAATTTGGTTAACTTCTGATCCACTGGAAAGAATCTTATGGAATCTCATATTATACTGTGAAAGAAATGCCAAATACTTCCATTTTGTGTGGTCACTGAATAGTGAACACAATATGTGGCTCACAAACTTATCTATTCTGTAAATAATATTAATTTCGTAAAAACAATTTATCTTAAAATGATATTGATAATTCTATATTTTTTACACAGAAAAAGTATGGAGGAAAATTTGTAAGCCGGTCGGACAAACAGCACGTGATTAAAAAGGGAAGCATGATACGATTTTCTGTGAAAAGGTATGGGCTGATCTTTAGTCCCCTTGACAGTTTCAAAATTTTCATTCATTGTTTGCTTTCCACTGTGAAACACCTTTATTCAAAAGTTATGGCACTTGTATGTTACTATATTTGTAATTTGTTAGTTGTATGCAGTACTTGCTGTACGTTGTTCACGAACATGCATTGTTCTAGCATGTTAGAATTGTTTTTCCCCTGGTGTGCTTATTATGACAGGAGCCCTGAAAAAAGTCATTTTGATACAATGGCTCTTAAGTCTAATAATAAAACAATGTGAATGGTTTTCTGAAATACACACATGCATTTACATAGCACAGCTAATCTATATAGCAAAAGCTTCTTTTAGCTTCCTGTGTTATGTACAAGAAATGACCAGCAATTTATTCCCCGGTACAACTGAATGGTTAAATTAGGGACTATGGGATGATTGGAACCAGCTAATGTCAGGCTCCATATTCCGAGTGACAGATTGATCATGTTCTCTTCTTTTGATGTTCAATCACAGGGTGGATGCAGAAATGAATTGTCACGTAACTGGTTCTTTAATCCCACCTCACACTGGATCCATGCTTTGGTTGTCAGTACACGATGATGAATATGCATTGGAAATCAACAGGTCTGGATATGCAACATAGTATCTCTGCTACTTTTTGTGCTGGTATTTCAATCGACTCATGCTTTCTAGCTTTTGTTTTTTACATGTGATGCTCAAATTTTCCAGCGGGAAAAGGTCAAGGGATAACAAAATTAAAACTGAGCAGCACGAACAAGATCACAGTGTGAAGAGTTCTGGAAGAAAACACAAGTCCAAGTCCCGAAAGAGGAGTTTTGAGGAAAGATGATACCGATTTTATGGAGCAGATTGTTTGAGTAGAAATTATAGTTGATAGCTGGGAGCTGCGTCTGCTTCCTGTGAATAGCCACTGCAGAGATACGCTGCTCCAGTTGAAATAGCCTGATTAGGAAGCTGCTTCCTGACTGTTTTACAGTGTATTATCAGATGTCACCCTAATTTTCTGTTGTACCATCGACTGCCATGATGATGTAAAACAAATCAAGGATTTGATGTGTAACATTTACCTGTTCTAATGGATGTTGATCTTATCCCAGAAACACACGAGTCAAGTGACAAATTCTATGTTCTGGTGTTACTGAGGCCTGAGGTGTTGTGGTTCAGTAAGCTCCTTAGCACTATGAACTATGAATATTATGAATGTGGTACAGTATAAGCAAAATTATGCATAAGCAAGCTGCATGTTCATCTCTTCTTGAGCCTCAACCAACACTGACATGTCAAGGAAAATCTGCAATCACAATTTGAGGGCGTCCATCGAAGTGTTTGGGTGGTGTAGTGGCGCAGGATCTAGGATCAGCTATAGCTTATATAGGTTGTGGGATTTACGGAAAGGAAGCCGAAACAACCGCCCAGTCCGATTTCAACAAAAGATGCTGCCCAGTCCGATTTCATCAAAAGATGCACGCTAACATTTTCTCTTTTCGTGTAATTAATTATAGGCCCATGAATTGTAACAGGTTTTTTTTTATTAAGTTTGGTGGAAGGATTTGGATCGATTGGGCTGTTTGGTTTTTACGAAAAAGCTAATGGGCGGCTAGTCGCGCGCTCTCTTCCCCGCGCGACTGGACACGTGTCGCGCGCGGAGAGGTACTGAGTAGTAGTAGTGGATCTGGTGGTCGCGCGCCTGCGCGACCGCACGACTGATCGCGCATTAGGGACACCCTTGTTTTTTACACTGATCGGTATTTTAGGTTGAACGGTTTTTATGGGAGAGAAGGTTTTTTAGGTGGAAGTGGGACAGAGATAGAAATAGGCGGTTTTTATATGGAAGTAGGGCATATTGGAAGGAAGGGAGGATGACTCCATCTATTAGTAGTATAGACTGTATAGTAATATGTGTGTACTTTGTAACGGGTCAGGCCCATATAATTAGGGTATATTGGAAGGAAGGGAGGATGACTCCATCTATTAATAGTATAGTCTGTATAGTAATATGTATGTACTTTGTAACGGGTCAGGCCCATATAATTAGGGATGGGCTATAAAGATAATTGAGGATAAAATATTACATCCAATGGTTACTTTTTGCATGCGCACACGCTGCGCTCGGTGAAAAGATGGGATGGAAGGAGAAAGACTTTGCTTTTAAGGTAGTAGATTAGTTATAGGCCTATGCATATCTTTTCTTTTTGTTCTTTGGTGAGAGGATTTGGGTGGGCTGTTCGGTTTTTTAAGGTGGCTATCTTTTTTTTTTGAGAAATCAGTTTTTCAGGGTGAAACGGTTTTTATTGGAGGGAATAGGTTATTACATGAAGATGATGAAGAACAACTCTTTTAAGTTATAGAGAAAATCAATTTTGAGGGTGGATGGTTTATGGGGGAAAATAGGTTTTTACATGGAGGTGAAAGAGGATCACTCCTCTTTTAGTTAGTAGAGATAGAGAAGAGAAAAAAACATTCTCTTTTGTTTTACTAAGCATTCTCTTTTAAGGCTCAGTTTTAAATAAATTATTGAGTGGATTGTGGCTACCGATTATTTACTTAATTGTAGGGATAAATTAAATATTGTAATAAATAAACTTAACAAATAATTTAAAACAAGTGGTTTTTAACAACACATCGATCGGATCAAGAAAATATATTCTCATGGAGCAAATCTGTTTGAAGAATCCGAAAAAAGAAAAGCTGTAAAGAACTTAAAGCCTTCAGACTTCCCTTTTAACAATTTATCAACAGGTGCTTCAAGGTTCAAACAATCTAGCAGCTTAGCAGCAAACACACCTTAAAAAAGACTATTGAACCGGTCGAAAATTTTGTTTTCGTCAACCACGTATGCACGTCTGATTTCTTTTGTCAGTTTCCCGCGGCGTTCCATTCCCTTCTCTCTCTTTTCCACATGTCATCCCATTATCGTCCTTGAGGCTAGTAAGGCTAGGCACAACTTGTTCTTTCTTTTGAATTCTGGCAATTTGTTTGTTTATTTTATGATGACCAACAAACATTTAATGATGTTCAAAACAAATTTTTATATATACAAAAACTATACTTATATAGAAAGTTTATGAGCAAAATTATGTATGATCAAGCTGCATGTTCATTATTTGAAGTACAGAGAACTGAATAAGTTCGCACCCAAAATTTCAGAGAATGTACATGACGCACTACCACACCGTGGCATATACACAACTAGAAGTAGAACTGCACAAAAGATAAACATTGCCAGCCAAAATCGACATGAACATGATGCTTCTGAGATGCAGGTTTTTCTACTTAGACCACGGCTTTAAGGAGAGGACGACGATGAGGATGATTATGAGGAGGATGACAATCCCTATGCAGGTCCATTTCCGTGTGTTCTTCTGCAGAAATCTTGCTTTCTGGAGGAGGTTTGTTCCAGTCTGAATATGTTCAGCTGCACCTGAAACCTGAAGAGAGATAGATAGGTCATAGGTTCAGGGATTCAGAAGTCAGAACAAAAATGTGGCTCACAAAGGAGTAGCAAAGATCCTCTGAAATGGCATGTAAAATTTTACCTGTGACTCTATATTGTCCAGGATCTCGCCTTGAGCCTCAACCAACACGGACATGTCGAGGAAAATCTGCATTCACAATTGCAAGGTAAGCACAGTATTTGGAGCTTCGATTTTCTGGAAGATTGCTTATTCATTACCTGTTGCAGCTCAAGAAGCTTCTGCTCTATCTCTTTCACTGCATCATGCCGTTCCTGAATTTCTTGGAGAGTGTCAAGCACCTGCAAAAGCCATAAATTCAGGTTAAACCATGTTTTTTTTTTCGGCATTAAGCTTTCTATGTTAGAATTATCATAAGAGGGGCCAAAAGAATCGGTACCCTTCCACGGCCTTGTTCCTGAATAGCTCTCTGAAAAATTTGCTCACTGTCCCCAGTTTCTATCAGCTTGTCAATTGTCTGAAAATTTGGCCAGGTGTAAGCAACACACCATATGCAGATTTGTTAACAGATGATTTGAAGTTAATATACTTCTTACCTCTTCGTCAGCACGCTCGCCAGTGACTGTTTTGGATAATTTTACACAATGGATGATTACAAGAGTAAGGCTATCAGTGCAATTCAAATAGAAATCCTGATACCATGTTGAGAATTTAACATAACTGACCAGTGAAAACGCGCCGCTCCACTACATCCCGGTATTCCTTCTGGATTGCCTCTCTTAATGTCTGCAAAAATAGTTCACAGTAAGGATAACAACCACGCCCATTTTACAAACTGAACAATATAGGTACAATCCTGATGCTTAGTGCTTATTTCAGAGTACATGAGTTGGTGAATTAACAACCATGTGTGCTAAATAATTTCTATCAGGTAGATTGTGTGCAATAATTGATGAAATTCTTAGTGAAAAGGCGGTACCTGAAACTCAGATATCCGTTCTCTCAACCTCTTTGTCAATGAGCTGCAATAAGATTATCAACTGGAAGTCAGTGATGTGAAAAACATAACAAAAAGGACAAGAAAGAAGCAAGAGAATGAATGTAGGATGCATACACAGTGGTTGTAGTCCGGGATCTGTCCACTCCCGAACCCTTACCGAAGCCTGGTTTTTCTCTGTTTGCAGCATTCTGTAACAGAAAAGAAAATCAAAGTGGCATATATCAAATCTGTAGGAAGTAATAAAGATAAAGTAGTAGGTACTTAATGATGTACCATTGGGAAAAAAATATTGAGAGAAAATTTACTCACGTCTTTATTCAACTTCTCTACTTTTGATTTTGCCAGACGTGCAGTTTTTGTCACCTCATTGACATCCTTCTCCATGCGCTTTTTAATCTCTACAGTTTGAAAAGAGGAATCAAATTAGTGATGCAAAATTGAAGCAACGCAAGTATCCATAAGCTATCCAATTTGCAGGAAAGAACCAAAATCCCGTATTGTACCTTTCATGGCTGATGCCTTGGTAACAATTTTTGACTCCTCATTTGAGTTCTACATGAAATTCGCAGACTTTTAGAGAGATGAAGAGTAACATTGTTGAATAAAAAAATCATTCAAACAAATTCAGGGAAATTAATCACTATTAATTTAACAGCATCTGGAATACACGTATCACATCGTCACACTTGTATATTACTATATTCTGTAGGTGCTACTGAGATTTGATGCATGTTCAATATCTGCAATTTAAATTCAGCAACAGGTCCAATTTGATATTGCAGCTCACCTGAAGGTCCTTCAGTAACTTTGTCAATGTTTCATGTAGCTTCTCGATCTCCCTGACCTGAATATTGTGAATGGAACCATTTCAATCACTTAAGAAAGTTCTGAGTAGCTATGTTGATATTCCGAAACTTGAACGCACCTGTTCAAAGAAGCCTTCAAAGCCAGGCTGCGCAGAACTGGACATGCCACCCTGCAACCCTAGCTCGATATCAACATTTGCAGGGGCTTGGTCCACTTTGCTGAGCTCAAACGAATCCTGTAAAATTGAAGAACCACAAAATATGCTGTTAGTTTCACATTTTTCTCAAAATTTGAAAGAGATAAAAAAAAGTATTATATCAGGCTTGCAATCAAAACTTGGGTCAAGAAGGTACTGTGGTCATTCCAAATATATAGTCTTGCAAAATATAATAGCATATCTAATACAAATTCTGCTCTGCTCTATTAATTAACATATAAAAGGCAATCCTCCTGCCTTTTCGTTTCAAACAAATATCTAATACAAAATCAGGAACAAAATTCACCGCGTAATCCTGTCAAGATTTTTTTTTAAAAAAAAACAAAAGGTCATCAAGATATTTATGATAATCATGTCTTGACAAAAGTCTTAAAAAGATATTTCTTAACAACTCAATAATTTCCACAGATATCAGTAAGAACACCAAATCCGATCCTGTCACGAAGTCGATCAAGATCGATCCAAACATAAACCAGGAGTCCATATAACATGAAGTTCACCAAAATTAAAATATTCAAAAGGCTTCAGCAAACAAAACGATCCTCAATAATCAGAAACCGGCAAAATAATAAAAAAAAAAAACCACCATCAGAACCGAGAACTCAAAATTTTCACCCCCAAAATCACCACAAGAACAACCAATCAACACAACTATAAAACTCATAACAGGCAACAAGGCGATCAATCATACCGTGAGAAGGTTCCTCATCCTCGGAGCAACAGGCAAGAACCCTCAGAATTCTCAGAATTCCCACCTCAAAAAGGCCCCAAAACACCAAATTTTCTCGCAGGGCGCGTTCGCCGGGTGGCGGGGGTTGGGGTTCTTGGCGGCTAGAACCGGTATAAAACCGCGGTTTTGATAGGAAGTTTCGTCGCTGGGAAAGGAAACGAAAAATCAAGAGAGGCTATGGAGTCTCGAGAGGGTTTATTAACTTCAAAGGAAGGAGGAGGGATTTGGCGGTCGTGTAGGAAGACTTGCCATCCGATGTGTCCACACACAACACCAAACACCGTTTGCTTCGGCCAATGGATGGTGTTCTTGTTTGTTTTGTCATTTGTTTTTCCATTTTTAAAGTTGTCTTTTTTGCATGTTGAAAGAGATGGATCGTTTCTGTCTGGGACAGTTTTGATCTTTCACCTGACATAAATAAAGGATTAAAGTGTTTGATGGAACTGTTAACTTCGAAGAATGTTACCATAACCACCCCCAATTAGAAGCAGCTTAAATGGATAATGAGTGGGGGAAAAACACATAGTCATGGTACTTTGCTACTCTCTCTGTTTCATATTATTTATCATTGTAACAAATCTCACACAAATTAAAGAGATATGGCAAATCACATTGTTAAATACATCCTATTGTTTTTCCAAAGCAGCCGTATTAACTGTGATTTGTTGAGATGAGCCCATAAGAGTTGTAAATGTGTATTAATGAACGATAGAAAGGGAATGTCATCTTTAAAATTGTTTTAGAATATGAGACTAATAAGTACTCCCTCATTTTTTTATTATAAGTCGTTTTGACTTTTTCCCTGTTGACCAAATTTATAAAGAAAATATAGCAATATTTCAAACACAAAATAAATATTTTATAAAAATATATTTAATGTTACATTCGATAAAACTAATTTTATGTTGCAGATATTACTAATTTTTTAATATTTGATTAAACTTAAAGAAATTTCACTAGAGAAAAATTCAAAACGATTTATAATATGAAATGAATGGAGCACTATTTTCATTAAAAAAATTGAATGCCAGATCAATGGGAGTAGTAATATTTTTCTCTTTCTTAGATACGATCTAAATCGCACGAAGTACTTTGTACTAGTAGTACCTTAGTACTGTGCGTGTGTACAAGGGTCAAGTTATTGACTAGGTTAGGCAAGAATTAGTCCATGAAATAATCTGTCAAAGCTTTGAATCTGTTATTGGTCTTCATTCATACTAATCCTTGAAGCTTCCAGCCCTTGCTTTTCTTTTTCTTAAGCTACTGTCTGCATCCGTTACAGTTGAAATGCTTAATTTTACTGGAGATTGAGGGAATTAAGAATTAGTGATTTCCTATCATGAAATAAAAAATTATTTCAAATGATTAATTCTACATTAAATTGTTATAGTACACCAGTCAATATCCATGTGCCTATCAATCAAGCAGTCGACCTAGCCATTTTTCTGGACTTCCATGGGGAAAATGCTAGTTAGTCTCTTGCTAATATTAATACCATCATATTGAACTTACGGTCTGTTTCGGAAAAAGTAATCATGTTGCACACACTGATGTACAGCTCCTGATAAATTCCATTACAGTAACAAATTGAAAATATCACACAGCCAAAGATGTGCCACTCGTACCACATCAAAAAATGATAACGCAAAAGCAAATACAAAACCATGAGACTCCCAAACCCAAAGTACCATTGCCAACATGGCAACACCACACGTCAATAACGTTAACAGTAACACATATGTACATTTGCAGTAACCCAAGAATTTTGATGTTACAGTACAAGCCAAAGATGAAATTCAGCAGACAGGGGAGCCCCACTACCCCCCAGTATGGAAATCAGCTCATACAAACTACACGAAGGGCTCCCTTTTCAGTTATTGAGACCAAATGATCAGCCAGTTGTATAATGGTGTCGTCTTGGTTAAAAATAGATTTTAACTGTGTAGTGAAGCATCTAACTTCCACACGCCAAGCACTCCTCCCGGTTGTTCAAGGAACAAACCATTTGAGCCATTTTAGCTTCCACGTCCTCTTCCTCTGCAGCCTTGGTGCCGTTTTCCTGAACAATATTTTTAATGGTGAGTTGGCTATTCAGGAATGTAAAACAATTATGGGGAGGGCCAGAAGACATACTCCATTGGCCTTCAAAAGGGCAGTATCAACTGTGAACTTGATTGCGTCAGCAGCTGCTCGTGTTCGTAGATAATACATCCCAGTTTTCAGGCCCTAAATCAACCAAGATGAAACCATGTTTACTTGTAGACCTTGCAAAAACACAATCTAAAGACAGCAGTTCTTTTTCATGGCATGACAAATACAGAATAAATATGGGCTGCATAGAGTTCAGGAATATGCTTTCACATAGCCTTAATAATACCTTGGACCAAGCATGGAAATGCAGAGAAGTCAGCTTCCCAAAGTTTGGTTGTTCCATGTGAACATTAAGACTCTGGCTCTGATCAATGTAGCATCCACGATCAACAGCCATGTCAACAAGCGTTTTCTGCTTTATCTCCCAAACCGTTCTGGAACAATTGAGGTTAAACGTTTAGATAAATGAATATCTGCATCTGGTAGAACATAGCATTAGGAGTTTAGGACAATGAACAACATACTTGTAAATTGCTTTTAGATCATCTGGGATCACTGTCATCTTTTGAACAGAACCATCTTCATAAATTATCTTATTTTTCAGAGCTGGAGTCCAAACACCCATTTCAGTCAAATCATGGAGAAGATGCTTGTTAACCACAACAAACTCCCCACTGGAAAAGAATTAAACAAAATCAATCATAAGCACCTGTAGTGAGCACGAGCACTAAGAACAGTGTAGTTACAAACCTTAGAACCCGCCGGCTGTATATGTTAGATGTATAAGGTTCAAAGCATTCATTGTTGCCAAGAATCTGACTAGTGGAAGCAGTAGGCATTGGAGCAACAAGAAGAGAGTTTCTTAATCCAACTTTAGAAATAGTACTCCGTAGAGATGGCCAGTTCCATCTGTCAGATGGAACTACATTCCACATATCAGGTTGGAGAATGCCCTGAAAAGTGGATAGAAAACAGCCTTAGAAAGAATATTACTTGTTGATATCCAACCAACAATTTAGTCAAACTACACCAATAAATAAATTGGTAAATTCAGCTACTAAAAAAAGTGACATTAGTAAAAGCAAAAAACCTTGCTGACAGGGCTCCCTTCATATGTTTCATAGGGACCTTCTTTACCAGCAAGCTCAGCGGAAGCTTTCAGAGAATGAAAGTAAATAGTTTCGAAGATATCCTTATTCAATTGCTGAGCCTGAAAAGAGGGGATCACATTTTTTACATCAGTTAAGTGTAGGAAGGACTACTAACTAGTACTACTATATTACTGAACTAGGAAAAGTTACCTCTGGTGAATCAAATGGCATGCCAAGTAATATGAAAGTATCTGCCAACCCTTGAACACCAATGCCAATTGGCCTGTGCCGCATATTTGATCTTTTTGCGGTTTCAACAGGGTAATAATTAATATCAATTATTTTGTTGAGATTGTATGTGACAGTTGAAGTAACCTGGTAAAATCAACAGCGTGTCAGAACATTCACTGACATAGGCAAGAGTATCTATTTTTAGAATAAACAGATTCGATCAGACAGCAGACCTCAGCAAGCTTGTCAAAGTCAAAATATCTATTTTTAGAATCACTGCTCCCGACAAGTTTAGATGGATGGGACTCTATGGGGACACCCTGCAACAGAATCTTATGATCAGACATGTAAACATACAACATTTAGGGTTGAAATCAGCCAAAGCACTAACAAGATATACCTTTTCCCTTACAAAACGTGGTAAAGCAATAGATGCCAGATTGCAGACAGCAGTTTCAGTAGGGCTTGTGTACTCAATTATCTCAGTGCATAAGTTTGAAGATTTAATTGTGCCCAAATTCTGCTGGTTACTTTTCCTATTGCATGTATCCTGTGGGACAACAAGAGCATTCGGAATGAATACTTGGAACCTGACTATAGCCAGCAGCATATTTGGAGGAATCTTGGGTCCAAAATCAAGTACTCCTTGCTACTAATTTTGCTACCAAATTTACCTTGTAAAGCATATATGGTGTACCAGTTTCTATCTGTGCCTTTAAAATGTCAAACCAGAGGGTCTGAGCTGGGACAATTTTCTTTGCCTTGCCCTGAAAGTACAAAGCTATGTTATTGTAATCTTTTCCAACTTCAATAAACTGTAGTACAATTAAATTTCGTTTCCAACTTACCTCTCTCTCATATTTTGTGTACAGTTTCTCAAACTCATCACCCCAGCAATCAGCTAACCCTGGAGCTTCATTGGGACAAAACAATGACCATTCTTGGTTATTTTGGACTCTTTGCATGAATAGATCAGGAACCCAGAGTGCATAGAAAAGATCCCTTGCACGATGCTCCTCCTATTAAATTGTCATTCATAAAAACATGCATTTCAGATCTTTCTTCAGGCTAAAGCCTTTAAGTTAGGAGAAATGGCATATATTAGAAACATAAACAGCACAAGCAAAGCATATCAAATTGTTCAAAGCATATCAAATTGTCCAGTGATCACAGTATGCTGGATAGTGAAAAGCTTCTGAACATTATAGGAAGAAATACACTAGAGCCTGCTATTCTTCTATCCACCAGTTTTTTCTAATGGTATAACTAATTTGCACCAAAGACTTGAACATTCAGCTCTGCATCATAACATCTATTACATGTAAGCAATCCATTTCAAGTTCAGAAAATGTAGATGCAAGGATACATTGAAATCAGCTCATTGTCGCAACAAATCCAGAAGATTTAAATGGTTACAGTTTTCTATGCAAAGGAATTAATAAGAGGATCTGGTTGAGAATTTACCTTCCCATGATTCTTTCTCAGATCAAGGAACTCAAAAATATCCGCATGCCAAGGCTCCAAGTACACAGCAAATGCACCTGATTTTTAGGAGGGTATGAGAATTCCTGGAGATTATGGTATTAGAGTAATTTTCACAAATAAAATTGACCATAGAACCTACCCTTTCTCTTGCCTCCACCTTGATCAACATAACGGGCAGTATCATTGAAAACACGTAGCATAGGAACAATCCCATTGGAGGTTCCATTTGTTCCACGGATATAGCTCCCAGTAGCTCGAATATTGTGAACTGATACACCAATTCCTCCAGCAGATTTGCTTATGACAGCACATTCCTTCAAAGTATCATAGATTCCCTCAATGCTGTCATCTTTCATGCAGATAAGGAAACAGCTGCTTAACTGCATTGCAGAGAATAAAAGAGTAAGCAAGCAATTTCAGAGTCCAAGACTAGGATTTTTCTGGTCAAATGTGCAGTACTTGGGGCCTTGGAGTGCCAGCATTGAAAAGGGTCGGTGAAGCATGAGTAAACCAGCGCTGAGACATCAGATGGTAGGTCTTGATAGCAGACTCAATGTCATCCTTGTGTATACCTACTGAAACTCTCATTAACATGTGTTGCGGCCTTTCAACAACCTTCCCGCCAAGTTTCAGGAGGTAAGACCTCTCCAGAGTCTTGAAACCAAAATAATCATAATCGAAGTCCCTATCATAAATTATCTCGCTGTCCAAGCGAGAAGCATTCTGAAAATAAGGATCAGAACATCAGAAACCGTAAGAAGCATAACATACATCAATAATCCTAATGACCAATAAATTGAATGGAACAGTAAATTTTACAAATCAGAACAAGAACAGCTATCAGTGCAAGTCCCTAAAGTTTAATTTGATATCTCACCTTCATGATGACTTCATATACATCGTGGGCAACCAAAGGAGCATTCAGCCCAGATCTCTCGTTGAAATGTCCATACATGTCCTTAATCCTGCATCCATAACGACCAAATCCCAATTCACATCCTAATCCATAAATCCCAACACCCTTCGCATGATTCAACTGAAACAAAAGCAATCAATCGCTTACGTCTCCGAGAAGGACTTCTTGGTGTTCTTGTGCAGGTTGGAAACCGCAATCCTCGCCGCGAGCTTCACAACAGCAATCCACATGTCAGGAGGAGACAAGGTACTACCGAATGGGGAACAAAAAAACCAACAACGGTGAAGTTCAGTGGCTGTTACCGAGGCGTAGTCGGGGTGGGACGCGGTCATGGCGGCGGCAGTCTCGGCAGCGAGCTCGTCGAGCTGGCTGGTGGTGACGCCCTTGTACACACCCGCGCATACCTTCTGCGCGACGAGCACCGGGTCGCAGTGCTCCTGGCTGAGGCCGTAGCTGAGCTTCTTCAGCCGCGCCGTGATCTTGTCGAAGTGCACCGTCTCCTGCCGCCCGTCCCGCTTCACCACGTACATCTTCGCCCCCCACCCGGCGAGGCCTTCCGTCGAACACCTGGTGTGCACGCGCGCCCGCCGCCTCCGCCGCGGCGATTGGATTGGGAGTGGGGAGGAATCGTGGTAGGGTTTGGGTTGGGAGAACCGCGCGGAGGAGGGGGAGATTTAAATGCTTTCCCGGCGCGGCGAGAGGAGCATTAATTAATTTATCGCTAGAAAAAAAAATCGGAGAAATCGCGAGAGAAAATAATACTTCGATTTGGAGCAAGTTTGGCGCGCGGGCGCGGAGCTGTTTCCCGCGCGGATTTTGGCGTCGTGGGGTGGGGGGCAATATCTCCAGGTAACCAGGCTAGTGGGCACCACCACCGCCCACCCCGACAGACATGTGGGCCCTACCGGTTGTCCCCCACGCGTCAGTGAGTTTGGGGTAGGAAACGCGGGGAACATGGCGAGGGGGCAGCGTGCAGTGCAAGCTGTTGCGGGTTTTTTTTTTTTGTGAATTTTTTGCGGGGCGGCCGCTGAAATTGAGACGGCGGCGTGGACTTTCGGGGACCGTATGATTGTGGGCGTAGCCGTCCGATGCCGGTTTCTTCTCGGAGAAGATGGCGCCATGCGGGCACGATGAGATGGGATCCCGACCGTTGAGCTGTGGAGGGGAATTATACGAGTTTTTCGAATTCGAGAGGGAAGTGTGCAGGAGAAGGAGATGCAGAGGCGCAGAGCACTGCAACAGCGTGCGTCACTCACTACGTCACCGATGCAATATGTGATGGGCCGTGCTAAGGCCCTGTTTAGATGGGACTAAAACTTTTAAACTTTTAAGTCCCTATCACATCGGATGTTTGAAAATTAACTATAAATATTAAACGTAGACTATTAATAAAACTCATCCATAATCTTGGACTAATTTGCGAGACGAATCTAATGAGCCTAATTAATCCATGATTAGCCTATGTGATGCTACAGTAAACATTCTCTAATTATAGATTAATTAGGCTTAAAAAATTTGTATCGTGAATTAGCTTTTATTTATGTAATTAGTTTTGTAAGTAGTCTATATTTAATACTCTAAATTAGTGTCTAAAGACAGGGACTAAAGTTAATTCCCTGGATCTAAACACCATCTAAGTACTGCACTAGCTAGCATCTAATGGGCTGTTGCCTGTTGGGCCTTCTCATTCTTAACTGCAAAGCTGAAGTACTGATGAGCAGCTTTGTCATTACCATTTGGTTACCTACGGAAAACCGATGTAATTTGGACGATTATTCACACAAAAAAATCGAAAACTAGTTCAGATTGATATGCTTCCAGTATAATTCACCGAGAGATTCCTCAATTCGCACAGAGACTTGATCATAAGTCGGATCTTTTCTCGTGGATTAATTAATTAAACTACACTTGGATTAAAACCGGAGGTAGTACATTAATACAACACAAATCGCAGACACGAGTACGATCGAGAGAGTAAAGGTAGCACAGTATAGCTAGCTAGCGAGGGTGTAGTATAGTAGCCTCCGCCATTGACGACGACGACGAAGCTTTGCTAGCTGCTGCTTCGTTTGTTCAGTTCAGGCGCCGTAGAGCGGGGGGCACTTGAAGCCGGGAGGCGGGTGCTTGCCGCAGGTGATGAGCAGCTCGAGCGCGACGGGGAGGTAGATGTTGATGTTGAGGAGGCGCGCGCGGATGGTGGTGCAGAGGCAGAGCGCGGCGTCCAGGTCCGCCACGCCCTGCACCAGCGGGCAGCACTTCGCCCTCGCCTTCTGCCCGATCACCAGGTGGATCAGCCCCCCCAGCACGTCCACGCACGCGTTCAGCTTCAGCGCGTCGATCGGGCACGTCTTCGTCGCCGGCGGGCTCGGCGGCGGCACGTACGGCGGCGGCGACGGCGGCGTCGGCGGCGGCACGTATGGCGGAGGAGACGGCGGCGTCGGCGGCGGGACGTACGGCGGCGTCGGCGGCGGGATGTAGGGTGGAACGTATGGCGGCGTCGGCGGCGGGATGTAGGGTGGCACGTATGGTGGTGGAGATGGAACGTACGGCGGAGTTGGCGGCGGCCGTGGCGTCGGCGGCGTGTAGGGCGGGTGGCACGACGGGCACCGGGGAGACGGGGGAGGTTTGTGGTGGTGGTGGTGCTCGGGCGGCTTGCCGTGGTGACCGCCGCCGCCGCTGCCGCTACCGGGCGGCTTGCCGTGGTGGCCGCCGCCGCTGCTGCCGCTACCGGGAGGCGGGCAGTCTTTGTTCCAGCCGTGGGCGACGGAGACGAGGACGACGAGCAGGAAAGACACGACGGTGGCGAGCGCCGCAGCCATAGATGCTGGTGGCGCGGCTCGACGTTGCACGGTGGCGTGAGATGGGTTGGCGCGCCTTTTATAGAGCGGCCATGGACGCCCACGCCTCCGCTGATCACTGAACACTGAACACGTACACTGAACACGAACTACTGTCAGTGCCACTAGCTAGTGCTACTAATCTCCCATGGTCAACACCTGATCCAATCACAAGTTCACAAAGCACTGCACTAACCAAGCAGCTTGTATGTTAATCAATTAATCAACTCAGTCTCGTCTCGTCATCTCGTGCATGGCATGGCATGGATGCATGCGTGGATGGGCGCCAGGTGTTCGCGGCGAGCCGGCGAGGCGGCCACCTGGCCCGGGGCGCGCGCGCTAGCGGCCACGGCGCGGGGGCGCTCACGGGCGAGCACCGCGCGCGCGCGCGGACGTACGCGCGCCGACGCTTCTAGCGCGCTAGCACTCGGCAGCACGGCGCGCACAGGCACAGACGATGAGGTCGAGACGCCGCTGCGGGGAGGGGGGGAGACTGAGGTGGTTGTCGCCATGGGACGCGCCATGGCGCCCGTGACCTGACACCGCCAGAGCGCGCCATGGAGTTTTCCGGCGACCTGGACGCCCGCTTGGGGCTCCACCTAGCACTGCGGCTGCATTTGCCACCACGTACGTCGAGATTCGCACTGGCAATCCACAGATAGGGACATAGGGTGTGTTCGCTGCTGATGGATGGGAACATATCACCCTAGCACGAAAACAGAACAGTCCATAGCACGATTAATTAAGTATTAGCTAATTTTTTTTTAAAAAAATAGATCAATATAATTTTTTAAGCAACTTTTGTATAGAAACTTTTTATAAAAAACATATCGTTTAGCAGTTTAAAAAGCGTGCGCGCGGAATACGATTGAGAGGGGTTGAGAACCCTTTGGTCAGAACACACCCTAGGGATTGTTTGTTTCACTACCACTTATTGCCTGACTATTGCTACAACTCAAGTTAGCCAGATTTGACTGTTTGGATGTTATACTAAGTTTGCCACCATTCACCGTATTTTTATGTCACACTTATCTAAGTTGTGGCTTACAATAAGTAAATCACACCTTAACTAGCGAAATAGGATTGCGCCACACCTTATTGAGTTAATGGCACGTGGGGTTATAATAGATAAGAAGGAATCTTGCCACAAGTGTGGCTATGAACCAAACAATAAATTAACTTGGTCAAACTTGTCTAACATGAGGTGTGTCAACGTTTGGCAAATTTTAGGAGCAAACCAAACAACCTCTAAGGTAAGATTCCTTCACCATGATGTGGGTCCCATGTGTTATTGGTATATACTCCCTATGTCTTCTAATATAAGGGATTTTAATATTTTGCTTGCACTGTTTGACCATTCGTCAAAAAATTTTAGAATTATTATTTAGTTTTTTACTTAATTTATTATACAAAGTACTTTAAACACAACTTTTCATTTTTTATATTTGCACAAATTTTTTGAATAAGATGAGTGGTCAAATAGTATAAGCAAAATATCAAAATCCCTTATATTATGGGATAGATGGAGTAAAAGTGTAGCAAACTTGCTTTCATACAGCTGAAGTGTGGCTTTAATTTTATGAGCCACATGTTAGGCATGTTAGTTAAATAAAGGAAAAAGTACGAATTACCCCCCCCCGAACTATCGCAGTCGTCCGAATTACCCCCCTGAACCATAAAACCGAACATTATTCACCCCCCAACTATGTAAACCGGACGAATTACCCCCTCGACCCAATCCACGATGGTTTTGGTCTATGTGGCGTACGCGTGGCATCCCAGTCAGCGTTTTTTAATTAAAAAAAATGGTGGGACCTGCCTGTCATACTGTCCCACCTCTCTCTCTTCCCCACTTTCCTCTCAATCTCTCTCTCTTTCCCTCTTCCTCTCAATCTCTCTCTGTCTCAGATGTGGCCCGCGAGTTGGTGGCCAGTGCTAGGCACGGCGGGCGTGGTGGAGAGTTGGGCCGCGTCCGGCGGCTGGCGGCCGGAAATCCACTGCGGGCGGCGGGCGCCGTCGCCCCCACGCACCACTGGGAGCAGCTTCAGCTCCACGCGCACCACGGGCACCACGGGCATGGTGCGACGCGAGGCGACGTTGGCGCCCAATCGAGCCCGTCGCTGCTGCCACCTCCGCTCGCCCAGCCGTGCCCGCCGCCACTCACCCAGTAGCGCCGGCAGCCGCCGCCACAGTCGCCTCCGCTCAGCCGTTGCCGCGACGCCACCGTCCGCCGCCCGCCCTGTGCGCCGTGCTTGCAGCCGCCTCCGCTCGGCCATCGCCGCGACGCGCGCCGCCGCCCGCCCCCGTGCACCGCCGTCCGCCCGCCCACCCCTCAGTGTCTCCCGCCGCCGCCGATCCTTGAGAGAGACAGACGAAGAGTGGGAGAGAGAGAAGAGATGAAGAGAGGGAGAGGGGAAAGTGAAAGAGTATGACAGGCGGGTCACACCATTGTTTAATTTAAAAAACGCTGACTGGGATTCCACGTGTACGCCACGTAGACCAAAACCACCGCGGATTGGATCGAGGGGGGTAATTCGTCCGGTTTGCATAGTTGGGGGTAAAGAATGTCCGGTTTTATGGTTCAGGGGGTAATTCGGACGACCACGATAGTTCGGGGGGGGGGGTAATTCGTACTTTTTCCTTAAATAAAATATGGCAAGCTTTGGTAACGTGAGTATACCAATCAAACAACACCTTACAGTTTGCTATATTGTCGGTGTTCCTTTGGTGCGCAAGAAATTTAAATGATTTCTTTATGTAATTTAGTTCAGTTGACATTCCTCTATTCGAAATTTGCATAAGCTACGGTGATTCTCAGGCTTGGAACCAAAAACCTGTGTAATTTGACAAACCGCGATCTTATTTCTATGAGAAACAGAGAGTGAGAGGCCTGTTAGAAAATGATAGACATACAAATGATAAAAAAACAATAGATCAATCATATAAGGCACGAGATTTAACGTGGAAAACCCTCTCAAAACAGGAGAGAAAGAACCATGGGCACCAGACAGAAAAATATATTCACTATATCGGGGCGAGGTTACAACGTCAAACGGCGGCTTACAAGAAGTATATATGAAGGTGAAACTTAAAAGGATAACGATCCGTAACGCGGGGCCCCTACACCCCAGGCGTCCTCAGGCCTCTGGCCCAAGCCTCTGGCGACGGACCTCTGCTTTGCTCCAGCAGAAGTTGGCCTTTATATATGTGCAAATGAATTTAGATCACAACTCAACAATTACAATGCTACACTTTTTAAGTAATGGAATTACGTGGATATATGCCCCATTTCAAATAGCTGAAATTATAGACGGATGAGTAATCTGGTTCTTATGACAGCTATTTAAGAGTATAAAATAAATAAATTAGCTACTAAAAACATTTCACAAAATCTTATATAAATTTCTTTTGTATCAACACATCATTTAGTAACCTGCTGAGCGAGTAAATAAAGATCTAAAATACAGAATAAAATAAAAATATACAGAGCTACAAAGTGAGGAAGAGAGGGAAAGTAGTATTCGGGAAAAAAAAACGAGATTGGAGGGAGAGCCATCCCAAACATTTATTTTTAAAGAAGAAATTATAAGTGTGTTGGGGATTAAATATGAGACGTGAGGGACCGAGGGTTAAACCACACACCCCTTTCCACTATATTACCATGCATCTCGAAAGTAGTATTCGGTATTCACAGTTGGAAAGCATCAACCGGATGATCAGCCCTTGTCAGAAAAATAAGTTGTTATTACACGTTGCAGCCAACCACACGTACATGCCGTTTTTCGCTTGTGCAACCAGCCACCAAACACAGTGTTCGGCTGATCATCTAATAAGCGAGATTAGACATCAGGGGGCGTCACATCTCCAGGGATTTGAGGATTATCAAGCCTAGTTTCACTATACAATTAAAACCAAAACAAAGCACCCGGAAATGACCTTAAAAATCATCAAATTTCGCTGCTTTTTAGCAGTGGATCCGGCCATCACCGACGTGCCTTTCCTGCGATGAGGAAAAAAAATTACAGTTAGCTTCATTTGCTAATCCAAAAGTTTCACATTTTTAATCATTCATCACGTTCTAGCTGTGAGTAAAGACAGTTCATTCTTTTTTCGCGAATATGCAAAAGATCTACAGAAGAAGTTTACAAAAGCAAAAACAACTGCAAAGCAAAGAGAGCAGAGAAAACAGTTCATTCTTGCAGTTCAAACAAATTGAGGTCACTTCAGTGATGATGAATTAATTCTTTCTTTGTTCAGATGATAACTCACCACGCTGAGATGATCGAGGTCTATATGATGCAGACGCCATGTCATTTAGGTCCTGCAACGGCGTCAGGTGCTTGACAACTTCATCCATTGTCGGACGAGACTTGGTGTCACGGCTGAGGCAGTGGTAGCAGATCTGAGCAACCTTCTGCACCCCTCTTACTGAATAGTTCAGCCCCAAGCGAGGATCTACGAGCTGGTAGAGCCTTCGCCGATCACTTAGATACGGCCTCGCCCATGCCACTAGGTTCTGCTCCCCAGTAGGCCGCTTCTTGTCCATTGATCGTCTACCGGTTAACATCTCGAGTAACACTACTCCGAAGCTATATACATCGCTCTTGGATGTCAAGTGTCCTGAAAAGTGTACTTTAATGAGATCTTGAACATGTATGCTTGTTTCTCAGAGGGAGAAGTATAATCTGATGTTTGACATTACTTTGTTTTTATTATTTTAAGTTTTTATGAAGCCAGAAAAGATCTCGTAGGAAGTAAACTTGTGGGATGCATACAGCAGTAATATTGAACCAGAAAGGCAGAGTAGAACATGTAATACCAAACTGGTTCCTGCTATCCACGTTTTCAGGTTATTCCAATGAATTCGGATAATCAAATCATGCTACGGAAGAGTGCTCCAAGATGAATGTTGTCTGTATCATTGTCTAAACAAACAAGCCATTTGTTACTTAAGTAAAAATCATCAGCTGTTACTTGGTGATCATGTCTAGATACTGCAGTTTATACGTCATCAGATGGAATCCCGAGGCATCTTAATATTCAATCTAGTAGGAATATCAGTGTGATGAAATTAGAAGCAAAGATGTAGATATCACACCATAGAAACTCACAGAAACATAATAAAATACTAACTGGTAGATTCGTATTAAAGAAAATTTGATTCAAGTAGACGACAAAAAACCAAAAGTTTCCGTAAAATACCTGTCATTACATACTCGGGTGCAGCATAACCATAGGTACCGACAACCCGTGTAGAGACATGAGTTTTATCGCCTTGAGGACCAGCTTTCGCTAACCCAAAATCTGAAAGTTTTGCATTGTACTCCTGTATAAGCAGAATTTCCACTGCTGTTAGAATAGCATGCAAGAAATAATCTTGTGAAAATGTGCAACATATTTATGAGCATGATGTGAATGAATTGATAAGAAATAGTACCGCATCAAGAAGAATATTTGATGTCTTAAAATCCCTGTAAATTACTGGTTTGGGACCTCCATGGAGAAAGGCTAGCCCTTTAGCAGCACCGAGAGCGATCTTCATTCTACAGGGCCAAGGTAGGGGAAGAGCCCCTTCAAGATTAAACAAAGTAAGATAACAGGAACTTTAGATTGGGAAACAATTTGAAGGCATTACCAATCAAGAAACTTACAGAACAAAGTACAATTGTTAGACAAGGATGACCTAATAGATCAGGGAACACCATATAGATCATCGTTAGGCCCTCTTTGTTTAGGCTTAGGCCTAGCCAATTTTTTGGCTTATATGTTTTATAAGCTGGTGGCTTTGAAGCCTTAAGTTTAATGGTGAAGTCATACCTCCACTTCACATAAGCCAAAAAAGCTACTGCAACCTAGCTTGTGGCTTAATAGTGTAAGAGTGGCTTATGTCCTTAAAAAACCAAACAGACAAGCTGCTTATCTGTTTAGGTTTAGACTTTTAGGCTCATAAGCTGGCGTATAAGCCTAAACAAAGAGGGCGTGTAAGGATAAACAGGTCCTAGTTTTCAATGAACTGTTAACAATTCAATGGACAACACCTAGAAATGATATTGTTGAGGTCAAGTCTTGGTGTTCAATAAGGCAAGTCAACAACAGCTTTTCTAAAAGAGTATTGTACTACTTATTCTAAAACAGCCCTGCATGCATTATCACCTTGGAAGAAAAAAGAGTAAATAAACAAAGGGTCACTTTCAACCATTGTTGCTCCTTTTGGGAGAAGTTACTAGTTTCTATAAAGCAGTTTAATTACTTCACTACATCAAGAAATATTTCTCAAGACATGACAATATCTAAATGTTTCAATTACATGATTCATTTTATTTTAGGACAAAAGGATGTACTAACACATTGGCATATGAAAGTATTCATATAGTATATATTTTGCATGAATTAAAAATGTGATGCCAATCTTATTTGAATTAAAAAGAAATACTAATGCATGTATTTGATTGTTTACTTCTGAAAAGATGGTTGTAAAGATTGCTTACTTCTGAAAAGATGGTTTTCAAGACTTCCCCGGGCCATGAATTCATATACAAGCAACCTTTGGTCATCCTCGATACAGTATCCAATCAGCTTAACAAGGTGTTTGTGATGCAGCTGTCCCAGAAAGTCAACTTCCGCCTGCAAATACGGTATGTTTGTAAGTTATAACTCTACCTACACAAACACATGTACAGGACAAGCACATACTTACCACCCATTCTCTGTGACCTTGAAGTGCATCCTGCTTCAAACTTTTGACAGCAACTGTAAGACCAGTACCGGGTTTTGCAGGAGATGTGCTGTTTGGATCAATCCATCCTTTGAATACATACCCAAACCCACCTTCTCCAAGAATACTATCTGGCCTAAAGTTAACAGTGGCAGATTTCAACTCTTGGAAAGTAAACCGAAGAAGTTTCTTTTCAGTTGATGCATTTACACCATTTTCATCATCAAGGTTTGTCTGAAAATGATCACCAAGCTCTCGATTGCTAGCATTTAGATATCTGGTCTCTGCTGTTATAGAGAAAAACAAAATGCTTGAGCACCTCACCCAAAAACTGAAAAATTCAACAACAGAAAGTACTTAGTAGATATCATGGCTATATACCCAAACTGTCCTTTGAGAGCCAAATTAAGCTTGAAAGAATAAGCCAAGATAGAATATTGTAAGGGCAATAGTTATTAGCTCTTGGTTAAGTAAGTTGATAGACATTGATCCAAGATTTATTATATGATGGGCATACTCCTAACCAATTTTTAATACAGGAAGAAAACCTACCAAGTTGACTTGAAATACCATCAGTGTGTGTTTCTTATGTTATCCAGGTTATTATTTTGAAAGTACTACTATTCAGCTTAATCATTTCCCGTCTCTCAAGGTCAGCAAAAATGATCAGCATGACATTAGAAAGAAACACAGCAGGATGTATTTTGCTCCTGAATAAAAGGATAAACGATTTGTTTCATGCTTCTGTCATATTTACAACAACCCTTCTTCAGCTATCACAAGGATAAGAAAAATCCCATTTGACAGACAGTTTAAATGTATACCATAAAGAGTTGCTTAGCACGGTATGATAGAAAGATGAGCAAAACCCATTCATCCTCTTATTGTTATTGAAACATGCTAATCCGAAGAACACATAACAACATAAAACATGTCTTTTTGTTACGAACATGGCAACAGCTAACAACATGCGAACACTCTCATTGAAATCTGAAGAACACACGGTGCTAAGATAATTCTGATCAAGCTCATATAGATGCAATGTTCCCTAGCACAAGCTTTTTAAGATTATGACACTCAAGCCTGTAAGAAATCATTGCTGTATGCCTGTACCACCATGAATAGCCCTTACAGCACTACTATAGGCATGATCCGTTCCATCTCAGATAAAACAGCAAAACAGTATCCAATTTCCGTTTACTCTGAATCTGTATCCCAAGTTCCAATTTCTCATTATAACATCCAAAATTCCCACGTATATTACATCACTGACAGTACTAAGCACTAATCATCCGATCAAATACACAACAGATCAGTCCCCAGTGAACACGACCAGAATTTCCCAGAAACAGAAAAGTTTCCCCTTTCGATGAACATCAATCACATCGCCGCAACAATAGCCAAGCAAAAATATCCAACCACTAGAGAACAAACAAGCAAAATCACCCCCCACAGAACCAAACAAAAACAAAAGAAGATCCCAAACTCACCAACCAGCTACAAACAAAAATCAAGAAGAAGGAAAAAAAAAGGGAGAGCAAAGAAGAAGCCAACCTGCGTCGTGGACGTGGCTCCCCTTGGCGGAGCCCCCCGCCGCGCCCTTCTCGTCGGCCCCCGACGCCGCCGCCGCCACCCCCGCCGGCCGGAAGCATGCCCCACGTAGCCCCCGCGCCACCGCCGCCCAGCACCCGCACCCGCGCTCCTCCCTCCGCCGGGAAGGCATCTCTTCTTGCAGGCCCAAAATCGGAGCTAAAAACAAACAAAGAACCGCTTCTTGCTGCTGCTAGCTAACTAGCCTCGAGTCCTACCGGCGCTGAATCCATCGAGAGCTCGAGATGACCGGTTCTTGGGCTTCTTCTTCTTTGCCCCGTCGCCGTCCAAACCCCAATAGATAAGTGCGCCCAAAAAAGCGAAAGCGAAAGGGAGGAGAAGAGAATTAGGAGGGACAGCGCTGGTGCGTGCGTGCGTGCGTGGGAGTAGACAAGTAGGCGAAGCAAGATCAGAAAGCGAGTGGAGCCGAGCTAGGCAGCTAGCTACTAGCTTAGCTTAGCTCGCGCGCGGCCGGGTGGATCAGTGAGTGGCAGTGGGGCGTCACCACCACCGCGGCCACCACCAGTGCGGCTGCCGGTGTGGATCGTCGTCGTCGCCGCCGTCATGATGACGGCGTCGGTGGTGGTGGAAAGGCGGTAGTAGTAGTAGTAGCTTTTCTGCGCGCGCGCAGGTGTGGAGGAGTGGTCGCCGTCACCCCCAGCGAGTTGTCGCTGCCTGCGCGGATTGGAGTGGAGGCGAGCCAACCAACCAACCAACGGGCAACCGTTGCGGCTGCAGCTGCGGCTGCGGGATGGGAGAAGAGAATATGTGCGGTGCTGAGGCTGAGCTGCTTTTTCTCCCGGTGGATCGCCGGATTATTATTCGCTTCTCCGCGAATCACAGGGTTACCGTGAAAACCGTGTGATTATTATGAGATATATTGTGATTTCAAAAACGGATAAGGTTACCGTATGTGATAACCACGATAAGCGTGTGATAACCGTACGATTTTGTAAAACCTATTGGCCGGATAGAAGTGGGAGCCTACACGACGATCGGATCCACGTCGCTGTAAATGTGGTAAAAGAAAATATCTTTTTTTACGGTGATCAGATCCACGTCGCTATAAATGTGGTAAAAGAAAAATGTCTTTTTTTTTAAAAAAAAAGATGTTTTCTTTTTTGCTTTTCTTGTAAGAGAATATGGTAAAAATGGTGTCTTTTTCAGATAACAGGAGGTTATATGCTAGTGGTTCAGGCTTCAGACTGTTCGGTGATGCGTATTCTTCGAGAGAGCATTTGCATATTATAAATACAGTGTTAATTTGGGGGATCAATTATGGAATTGGATATTAGAGATTGGTAGTAAAAGCGAGTTTTCTTTAAGACTAAAAAGATAGATTAAGAGAGGCATAAGAGAGCATAGTAGTATATTGCTTTCAGTGGTTCAGAGTGTTCAGACCTCACATTGTTCAGAGTCTCTTGTATTTGCATTGTGCAGATAAACACAATGCTAAGGAATTGGAGATTGGAGATTGGTAGTAACTAAGTGTGGTGAAATAATCATAAAAAATGTTAAACTTCACACTGTTCTTGTATTTGCATAGTACAAATAGATACAGTGTTAACCTGCTAGTGATACAGTATTCAACTATGCAAACTGGAGATTAGAGATTGGTAGCAAGTGTGGTGAAAGATTCATCAATATGAAATTGACAAGATCTGTGACAGATGCACCTTGTTTTTGGAGGAGCTTGTGCTTTAAGCCGAAGCTTCAGGAGTACTAGTAGTTAAAAGGTGGTCCATTTGCTCTAATCACAGCAACCATTGCACATTGCTGAACCTGAACATCATCGACCCCACGAGCATCGGCATCCTGCCATCCTCTTCAGTCCACATCCTTCGAATGGGTAGAAAAACGGAACAGCAAAAACAGATGTTCTCACTTCTCTCTCCCACCAAAGTATTCAGATGTCACTGTTTATCTGAAGAAAAGTTGAGATGACAGATATATATGAGATTGGAAGGAAAAGAAAAGACTAATTCAAAAGGAGGGGCCAAAAGGGCGGCTTTTTATCTGAACAGACAGAGCAGTTCTAACCAATTGTTAGTATACTTGTTAACTACTGCAAAGTGCAAAGTGCGAAGTGGTAAACAATTTTGGCTACCTTTCCTATAGGGTCCCTTCACATGGTTTTCAGTTCTTTTTAGTTGAAGTTATTTGACAGTTAAGCTGACAATTCCCAACAACTTCTCCAGTGGAAAATGCAGTTGCGTGTAGAAATTAAACAAGCTCAAACTGTGTTTAGCATGTGCTGAAAATGCAGTCGTACTTGTCTTACCTGCTGGATCATCTGCATTATATATGTTGGATCTGACCAGATTTCTCTCTTCTTTTCACACCAAGAAACCTGCCAGTCCAAATATGTGCTCACTGCTTAATCTGAAGCCTAATTACCATGTGCTTGCTGATGCATTAACTATTAACACGATTACTGAATCCATATTCGAGCTGATTACAGTTATAAAAAAAGATTTTCCTAGATTCATAAACTTATAGCTGAGACACTGAACAGATCAAGAGCAGACGGGTTGATGGAGATAAAAATAAGGTCACCGGTGCTCCAAGTTGATCATCATCGGCATGGCGATGCAAAAAAAAAAAAAAAACCCGGCTACTAATGGTGTTCGGAGTTGAAATCTCCGAACCCCACTCACGACGCATTGGAGAGAAAACGGCGGCGGATTCTGCGACGGCGCCAGCGTCGATGTGCCCGGGCGCAAGCGGCGGCGGCGCCGCCTCCCTCTCTCGGCGCTCCTTCTTCCCCGGCGTGTCCGTCCTGGGCGACGGCATTGGCCGGAGCACGGAGGTCGGCGGCCGATGGAGAAGGCGGCGACGGTGGCGTGGCCGCGTTGGTGGTGGGCCCGCGAGAAGAATTCGGCCCAATTACCTGCCACGAGGCCGTCACTGTGGGTGGGCCTAATCTTACGGCTCCGCATAAATTATGGGCTTTATATGTGGCCCAGATTTCCAACGCGGTTAAAGTGGGTGGGCCAGAAGAAGCAACCATACTGGATGGGTGACTTAATGGAAAAAGTCCATTTTGACTCCCTTAATTATTCATCGAATCTAATTTATGACCCTTAACTGGAAAACTGGGTAGGACGATTCCCCGAACTATTGAAACCAGTGCAATTTGACTCCTCTAACGGTTTTGGAGGGCGGTTTTGCTGACGTGGCGCTGACATGGCGGTGTTGACCCGGTCTTTATCCAATATGACGCTTATATGGCATTAAAATTAAAAAAAATATATGTAGAACCCATCTGTCATTCACACACACAAAATAATTGTGAGCCCACATGTCATCCTTTATTCCTCCTCCCTCTCTCTCCCTTCTCTCTCTTCTCTCCCCCTTTTCTCTTCCCCACCGGATCGGCAGCGGCGGCGTGCAGGCGACCACCTCCAGCTCCGCGCCATCTCCATGTCATCGTCGTCGTCTGTGTCCCCTTCCCCCCCTTTCGCTACGCCGCCTCTCTCCTCTCCCTTCTCGGACGGCGGCGGCGCTTCGGCAGTACAGGACCGCAGGCTCCCGCCGCCGGCCGCCGTGGACGCCGCCTCATCGCCTCCGCTCGCCGGCGGACGAAACAACCCCACGAGCGTATCGTAGCTGACGCTTCGTCTTGACGCCGTCGACGACGACGATGGCGTCACTCTTCCCGACGCCCATCTCGCGAACCCGAAATCGCCCACCTTGGCGCGCAGCGACGACGTGAGCAGCACGTTGGAAGAGGCTTGTCGGCCCCCTCTCTCTCCCGGCGGCCATGGACGGCGAGGGGGAGCACTGCGCGGCACGTCCCCCCGGTGGTGGAGGAGGCGACGGGGTCCGGCGTTGGGAGAGGGCTCGAGCTCTTGCTGCTGCTGCCACCATGGTGATTCCGCTGCTGCTGCGCTGCTGCTCTTGTTGGCCATGTCCACTGGCTCAGGTGAGGCCCCAACCCAGACCTGCATCCTCTGCGAGAAAAAAAAGAAAAGCAAATAAAACTCGTGTTTGTTCAGTTTTTCTTGAGTTTCCTGCCCCTTTTTATTATTACCACCATGTAGTTGCTTGTAGGAATCTTTGCCTAGAGCAATGGCTCAATGTTATCTTGCGATTTCTTGCTTAGTTGCATAGCCTCTTTCCCTTTTTGTTTTTGTGCACACTAGAAACATCAAAGAGGAAAGATTCACTTCGAGGCTATGCTAGTGCTAGATTTGAATCAGATTGAGACATGCATTCAGTTCTGAACTTTTGAGCTACTGATTTGAGCTAACCTGTGTTCCCATTTGGCAGCGGCGGGCAGATGGGGCGTTCTGCGTGTTCAAGCCCGACCAGAGTCCGGCGGCGATGCAGAAGGCAATTGACTACGCGTGTTGGCGCAGCGCCGACTGCACCCAGATCATGCAGTCCGGAGCGTGCTACCAGCCCAGCACCATCGGCGGCGGGGGCGAAATCCTCCGGCGCAGACGCGAGCAGACGGCGCACGACGGGGCCGAGCGGACGGCGCGCGGTGGGGCCGAGATGTTGGCGGCGATGGCGGGGTGGTCGACGAGGAGGACGACGACTGAGGAGGCGGGTCCGGGAGCCAACGCTGTCGTCGTCGGGCCCAGCAGCTGCAAGCAACGCCCTCGTCATCGGGCCCTCGCCGCCGCGCCCTTGCCGCCGAACGCCGCCGTCGCTAGCACCGAGAAGAAGAAAGGAGGAGAGAGATGTTAGAGGGAGAGGATGACTAGGCTGCCATATGTACGCCACGTCAGCGAAAACCACCCTTAAAATAACCGAGAGAGTTATTTTAGACGATTTTAATAATTCGAGAAATCATCATATCTGGTTTTGTGATTTAGGGATACGAGTCAGATTGGACGTATATTTAAGAGAGTCAAATTAGACTTTTTCCCTTCTTTAATTAACAATTGAGTTTGACAATCGAAATAAATTAAATGCACTGACATATGCCCTCTCCATATAGTTTTTCTTTCAGGCCCCTTTTTTTTCAGGGAGTTCTTTAACAGTTACTGTTAACAATCTCTAACAACTTCTCCAATCGAAATAAATTAAATTCACTTACATGTAGACATATTAAACATGCCCTTCCCAAAGTGTGCATCTCTTGTGCTGACACTACAGTCCTATTATACAGTATAGGCACCTAGCTGATCATTAGTTTTGATCACAGAATACGAATTTAACGCAGAGTGGATTAATTAGCCTCAGTTTACGATTAGAGTAAAGGTTTGGTAGGGGAGCAGGTAATGGATTGATTGCAGGGTTGGGATTTGACCAGGATAAACCTCACGCAAACGGCAGATGCTTGCATCGATGAAGTCCATCGTCAGATATATATCGTTAAGATCAGACATTAGTCCAAAATATAGCAGATAATCTGTCTAAATGGACGTGATGCTGTTTTTATGAACAGATTAAGCTAGCCACAAAGGAAGATATTAAGGTCAACTATGTATCACAGCAGTTAAGAAGTTGTGGGAGAGGTGAGAAAAATGTTGCTTCTAAGGAAGAATTAAATCTTCACAATTCGCAAGTTGATAAACAGATTTTTGCTTTGTTGTTTTGGATAATATTTGTTATATGAATGCATGCTTATCCAGCACTATAAATAGGTGGCTCTGCATGGTTGCCTACCCGCACAGAACCATAGCAGAGCAGTACTACAAGTAGTCACACATACATAGGGCACATAGGATATACAAATCAAAATGGTGGGCTAATTATTCCTCTCATTTGCTTCAATATATATTTGTTATTTTCTGAAATGCATGCATGGATGCATGTTTTAATTGCATTGTTAAGATTTGCCTCTGGACGTGTACACTATTTTATATAGGATTTTTAATTAATTTTTATCTGTCATTATCATTGATGTGTTCATTTGCAGAGCACACAACTTGTTAAGATCGGGACATGGGGTGGAAATGGAGGAGGTCGTGTAGACCTATCTGTACTCCCAAGGAGCTTGAAAAGTGTGACAATCCGTAGTGGTGCAGCCATTGATACTAGGGGCAGGAGCGCGCAAAGCGCGCTGCACTTGTGGAGTTGGAAGTTTTTTCATCGTTTATATGTATAGGAATATAGATAGTGTAGTGTATTTCAAAAATCTTTCCATCCCATAGGATTGAGGCAATGGAGTTTACTTGTTTCAATAATTTGTGCTATTTATCATGTAATCCCTCCGTTTCACAATGTAAATCATTCTAGTATTTTCCATATTCATGTTGATGTTAATGAATCTAGATAGATATATATGTCTAGATTCATTAACATCAATATGAATGTGGGAAATGCTAGAATGACTTACATTGTGAAACGAAGGAAGTAGTATATTGTATGGTTCGATATAGCTGTAGTAGATAAAAAATGTTTGCGTATAATGGTGCATTTGATATGAAGGAGACATGTTTAGGTAGTACGCAGCCATAACTATATTGGGTTCCATATAAGTAGTAGCTGTTTGAACAGCATTTCACAGCATAGAAGGTGGCAAGGTAAATATAACATTACTTATTTACAATGATAATCATGACCTAGGGGTCATGAACAAAAAGGCTTGCTTCTTAGCCTCCTCTGGGCTTGCAGCTAACTTGTTGCTTCTACACTTCTAGCTTGGGTGGTTCGTTCTGTACATATACACAAAAGGCTTGCTGATGGACTGCATATATCCATATCATTCACTGCAGGAATGAATGATGAGTTTAGAAATTTAGTGAAGTTTACTAAAGAATTGATGTGTATGTGTGGAGAGGTGAGCTGAGTTATTCAGAATTAACCTGTCAGTGGGTTTCTTCTGGGTACTATCCTTGAACAATTTTTTTTGGCAATTGTGGTGGTTTCTGCAGGTCTAGCTCTGTTCATTATAAGGATATGTCAAATACAATGTGTGCAAGAAATGTTTATTATTGTAACTTTGAACTGAAAGTTTTACAGACCTTTTTTTGGGTGTGCTCTTTGGCGCCAGTGAAGGATCTGCCTGTGGAGACTCATCTGGAGATTCAGTGGTGACCTTTGCCTTGTAGAAGAAGTATTTTTTTTCAGAAATTGATGGATTAGGTTATGAAAAGAAAGAGCAGGAATACCTTATCCGAAGTATCATGGGGAACAATTGCAATTAAAGATGCACTTTGTGAGATCTTCTCTTCATGATGTGTGCCAATTTTTGCCTTGCACAGTTAGTCAATAGGTCAGAGTGTATCTCCAGATATTTAGGAAAATTAGGTTATAGCAGAGGAAGTGCAAGAGTAGGCATTGAGAAGGATACCTTACTATCGGTAGAGGTCTTTGCAGTGTGAGATGGCATAGAGTTAGCTTGAGACAATAATGCTTTTTTTTTTGGTAAATACTAAGGAGCTTGATTTGCTAGTTGGTGTCTCATCTGTTGCAGCAGGAGGAGTGTATTTTGTTGGTGTTGAAGTACCCTGTGCTGGTATGATGGCTAATTGTGATTGGGTGCTTGTTAGTAAACAAGTTAATGTTCATACCTAAACATTTAAAAAAAATTCATACTCATTTAAATTAGGTATATACTCAATTTGAATCTTGGAGCCCGGGCTCCATGGTGCCCCAGTTAATTTTACTATATATATATATATATATATATATATATATATATATATATATATACACACACACACACACACACACATATACATATACATATATATATACACATATACATATATATATATATATATATATATATATATATATATATATATATACACACACACACACATATATATATACATATATATATATATATATATATATATATATATATATATATATATATATATATATATATATATATATATACATATACATATATATATATATATACACATATATACATATACATATACACATATGTATATACATATACATATATACACATATGTATATACATATACATATATACACATATGTATATACATATACGTATATACATATATACATATACATATATACATATACATATACATACATATATATATATATATATGTACACATATATGTATGTATACATATATATGTATACATATATATATAGTAAATTTGTTTGGTGCTCCATGGTGCCCGGGCACCATGATTGAAATTTACTATATACCCAATTCAAATGAGTATGAAACTTTTTCAAATATTTAGGTATTAACGTTAACTACTTTACTAACTAGTTCAAAGCAAGTTTGAACTGAATTCAAACTTGCTTTTGTTAGATTTTGATTCTAGGTATATAGCATCCAAACATATAATTAGTTAGGTACGTAATAATGGATTGTGAAATAAAGTTAAATTTGAGTTGTTTTGTTGCTAGGTATAGGTATGAATCGAATACTTATAACTAGGTATATACTCACAATTTGAAAATTTTGAAAAATTTAGGCGAATTTGTGTATTTCATACCATGGTGCCCGGGCACCATGGTGCCCCATATGAGTGTCCTATATATATATATATGTATACATATATATATATGTATACATATCTATATATGTGTATATATGTGTATATATATGTGTATATATGTGTGTGTGTGTATATATATATGTATATATATGTATATATATGTATATATATGTATGTATGTATGTATGTATGTATGTATGTATGTATGTATAAGTGGAGAGCGATTCTAACGGAAATGTGAACGGAGCGTTAAATATGAGCTATCTTTTGATGCTATTAAAGTAAACCGTGAATGTTCGGTGCTAAAATATAAAAATAGGACGGTGCTAAAAAATAAAAATGGGAACTTTCCATGCTACGTAACCAATTTTGCCGTTATATGGCTTCAGAGATGACCACGTTTGTAGCATATTGATTGAAAACCCGTTCCCATGCAATGTGGCACTCACATTAATTGTAATCTTCATATTTTTCTCCCAAAGGAATTGGCTAGCTTGTACTCCAGCATGGATTATGCATGTGTTCACACTGTGATTGAGATTATACATGTAGACATATTAAACATGCCCTTCCCAAAGTGTGCATCTCTTGTGCTGACACTACAGTCCTATTATACAGTATAGGCACCTAGCTGATCATTAGTTTTGATCACAGAATACGAATTTAACGCAGAGTGGATTAATTAGCCTCAGTTTACGATTAGAGTAAAGGTTTGGTAGGGGAGCAGGTAATGGATTGATTGCAGGGTTGGGATTTGACCAGGTTAAACCTCACGCAAACGGCAGATGCTTGCATCGATGAAGTCCATCGTCAGATATATATCGTTAAGATCAGACATTAGTCCAAAATATAGCAGATAATCTGTCTAAATGGACGTGATGCCGTTTTTATGAACAGATTAAGCTAGCCACAAAGGAAGATATTAAGGTCAACTATGTATCACAACAGTAAAAAAGGTTTGTGGAATGAGGTGAGAAAAATGTTGCTTCTAAGGAAGAAGCTAGTAAACCTTCACAATTCGCAAGTTGATAAAACAAAATTTTGCTTTGTTGTTTTGGATAAGATTTGTTATGTCTGCATGCTTATATATCCAGCACTATAAATAGGAGGCGCTCACTGGTTGCAACCATAGCAGTACAACTAGTCACAGATACATAGTAGGACAGAGGCTACAAATTAAAATGGTTAGCTAATTATTAAGTAGCACTCTTATACCTTTTTTCTTTAATATTTTTTTTTATTTTCTGAAATGCTGCGTGTTTTAATTGCATCGTTAAGATTTGCCTCTGAACATGCACACTATTGCATATGTGTCATAATCATTGATGTGTTTTATTTGCAGACCACACAACTTGTTAAGATCGGGACATGGGGTGGAAATGGAGGAGGTCGTGTAGACCTATCTGTACTCCCAAGGAGCTTGAAAAGCGTGACAATCCGTAGTGGTGCAGCCATTGATGCTATTGCCTTTACATACATTGGCACAGATGGGAAGGAACATCTTGCAGGTCCTTGGGGTGGTGGCGGTGGAAATCCAACTACGGTACATATAATATAATAATATATTATGTTTTTAGTTTCATAAAAGGCTCTGTTTTCAACCATGAATCTGGATTTATAGTTAAAAATAATCTTTCAGGGACGAAGGTAGCAGTTAATTTGTAAACCCTATAGCGCTACTCTTTCAGTTATATAATTTTTGACGTTTTGAACAACGATATGGTCTAAAAAAATGTTTTTAACTATAATTTTCTGTTATATTATACATAATAAATAAATATTTACTTTTGTTTATAGTAATTTTTAGGACTAGTTTCTATATATGTTGGTTAAGCGACTTCAAATTAAACTAAATATTTTTAAATATTTTTAAAGTTATTGATAATAAAAGTTATAAAAGTTGGATTGAACTTTGTTCAAAATATTAAGAATTATAAAACTGGAGAAAGTATATGTGTAGATGCATGTCATATGTATTGACCTTAAACAACACGTAGTGCCAGTAGTTAGCTAGTTAGCACAGTTAAAATTGAATATTATGATTGCTGCCCATTAATATTCTTCCTGAATATAATGATTGCTGCCCGTTAATACATGTTCCTTTCTCTCTTTTTTTTTTCTTATATATATGACATTGCTTAGTGTTAAAACTAATAAGCATCATATATAAAGAAAATAAGGGAGTGTTATTCAAGTTCATTCACTGGTGGAAATCAATTAATGATGATATTTCCGCACGTCCTTGCATACAGATTACACTTGGATCTCAGGAATTCGTGAAGGGAATCTCCGGAACTTTTACCAACGTCGTGACAAACCTTAAAATTGTCACCAATGTCACCACTTATAATTTTGGACAAGGTGGTGGAACTGCTTTTAGCCTCCCGCTGCAGAGCGGCAGTGTGGTTGGTTTCTTCGGACGCGCGGGAGCACTTGTGGACTCTATCGGAGTTTATGTCCACATATGATATATATTATCTACATATGAATATATCCTTGGATATATGGTTGGATCAGTGCTCATGATAAATTCACCCCTAGGTCTATTCGTTTAATCCCTCAACAAGAAGTTAAGTGAGATTTGTAGGAGAATAATTTCACATTTATTGAGGTGTGGAATTAATCCCCTCAATTCTCTCTAATCTCTCTCTTGGGAATGAACCGAACAAGACCTAAGGGTGATATTTCTTTCAATCACTATATAACTATACATATATAGTGTGCATGTGTATGTGCTTGGACTAGGTCCAAGGGTTTACCACACTAGTGCCCCGTTATACCTCTGTCAGTGTCGTATACATTTATTTGTGTTGTATTACATTCGCTATATACGTACGTGGTTTATATATGATTATATATGAATAAAAGACTTCTGTGATGTATTGTGCTTAAATGTGCGCAAGCCTATTTTTAATGTACCTAAATTTTGAGAAGCTGAGTTGCTAGTACAATAAGTTGCTTCGACGTACAGGAAACACTATGGTTGGATCTTATTGTGGGTGAACCCTTGTGTCAAATCCACGGATATCATCAACAACATAAGGGAAAACCACACACACAAAGCCACAAATGCGGTAAAATATGTGTAAAAGAAGATTTCTTTGTAGAGACATCACTGAAAGGGGGGAAATGCTTTTGATTGACCATCCGATGCGAGAGAATCCCTCGGACAACGGACGCTCGTAGACCCCACCCATCTTGCCCGCTTCTCCCCTCTCGCTCATTTCTCTCTACTCTATCCTCGTCACCGTCATCTAGGACGTTTCCCCCATTGTTCTCCTCTCTACCCGCTCCCTCTCCTCTCCTAACTTCTTCTCCTCCTTAATCTTCACGGGATCTCCTCTGGGCAGATCTAGCCACCCACAACTTTAGAGCATTGGATCTGCGGGAGGGCTGCCATGGAGACTAGAGAGGGGAAGGGATATTGGGAGATTGCTTTAGGTTGGGGATTCCTGCAGTCACCGTCTCCATCTCAGTGTTGCTCACCACTGTTTGAGGAGGTGGAGAGGTTGGAGCCGGCACTGATGAAAGTGAGGCTGGTGAAGAGCTAGTGAAGATGTTGCAAACCATGTCTTATTATATGTTGCAGACAATGAATTTTGGATGTTGCAATTTCTCTATTTTGAATGTTGCACCATCTCCTCCGGGTCATGCTGCGCCCATGGGTGCTGCATGACCTTCCTCAGCCGGCCAAATTTGTCAGCGACATCTCTCATCGACGGGCGGTTATTGCCGATCATCTCCAGGCACCGGCTTGCAAGGTTGGCAACCTCCTCGAGCACCCCAGCATTCTCATCAGTTTGAATGTGATGACCTATAATGTCCATGAGTCTTCCCTCCTCCATGGCACACAAGAAGCTCAAGGAAAGGCTCCTCTCATTTTCAGGCCCTTCAAGGTTGAAGGCCATCTTACCAGTAAGTAGCTCTAGTAGGACAATGTCAAAGCTATATTTTTTGGGGCAATTGCAAATTTACCACTACTTTGAATCGTTATTGCAAAACTGCCACTAGAAAATTGCAAAAATACCACTAGAACTGTCATTCGAATGGCATCCTTGCAATATTGAAAAAACCGGTAGCAAATTTGCAAATGCCCCATATTTTTTTAGATAATGGATTTTCATTAATCCGGCCTCTATATCCATGAAGGATATACATAGCTAAAACATACATGGGTTCTTAGACTCTAAACCCCCTATAGAGGAAAACATAAAACACAAGAAAGAAAAGCTACTAGAAGACTTAGCTTCAAACTTCAAACATGACATACTCTTTTTGTTATAGCACAAGAGGAAAGGGAGAACTGGAACTAGACCCCATAGCCCGTCGCTACATGTCGACCCCCGATTTTGGAAATCGGAAATCTTCTGTGTTTATCTGTACCAATCCCTGGATCAGTAGTTGGTACACACATACATAGTTGGATCACAACATATCACGAATGAATTTAGGCTAAAAGAGTTAAACACTTACATTAGGGCCAGGTAGGCCAACAACTATCAGAGAACAACAGCGGAAGACAAAATAATATAAGGGCCCGGTTAACATGCCACAGGCAGTCGACTGGGGAACGAGACCTAGAACAAGACCGCACTCCAATCATCTTGTGGGATACGCAAGCGTACCGACAAGGGCTTCTCTTCAACACTCTCCTAAAAGATATATAAATAGCAAGGGTGAGTACCAACCGTACTCAGCAAGCCACCACAACAACAATGCGTATGATAGAAGGTATTTCAAGGAAAGGCTTCAGGTTCTTTTGCATAAAGCTAATTTTTCAATTCTTTTCATAAGCCTAAGACCTAGCATAGACTGATCAAATTTTAGTACCAGTGTTCACTTTAAACAACGACGGTTCTGTCCACCATCCATTGTGATCCCAAGGATAGCTTCCCGCCATTGAATCGTCATGGTTTTCTGAGGATGTCCACCTTCCCTCCTCTCGGGATGTGGCTCCATCAGCATAAAATTCATCATGCAATATCCCATCCCCCACAAGTTAAGAATTTGGAGTCTAGCCAAGTGCAATACATGTCCCGGTGCTCAATAACCGCGAGCACGGCTATTCGAATAGATTTGGTTTACTCACACTGCAGTGGATGTACACTTTACCCGCACTCCGCGACTGCCCAACACATGAGCCTCGTCCCAACACATGAGACGCGTCACGGCAAAGCTTTTCGATAACCTCGCATTGGCAGTACCCGCTCCATGAACTTAAATCCTCATGCACTCTAGGCGTCCATGTTTCTAGCAGTGAGAGGAGTTCTGGCGCTCCCGGGAAAGAGAAGTCTCACACGCATATTAAATTATGGTTCAAGTTAAGTTCTCTCTCTCACACACTCATGGCAGTCCTACCAATGGTGACACCGATGTAGGGCACGCCTCTCGGCCCTACCTCAACGGCTGTCCCATTGTAGCGCACCTGCCTCACTCAGGGGTGAACCATCTATGCAGGGATACTGCCTCCGCTCGGCTATCTAATCCGCTAGGTCTATACCCATTCGAGAAGTACGGTTGTACGGGGGTCGTTTCACGCTTAACTCCATGGCTCGGTCCTTAATTGACCGGGAACGGTACTAGCCTTTTCCAGATACCACCCAAATCCTCCGTCCGCCCCAGTCGAAAACAGTTGTTTAATTTTATTTCTCCTTTCACAAATCATGTCATCAACATCATGGCAATGTGGCGCTCATGTCTCCACATGCCGCATCTCAATTACCTTCCCAAAGGTAATTGCCCAAGCATATAGCATTTGATAAATATGAGTATGCATGATTCTAGAATAGCATTTCTAAGCAGTTGTCATAATTGACTAGGGACTCATACGTAAACATGGTTACGAAGGAATAAGGGGTAAACAATAATCAAGGCATGGCATAATCACAAGTAGGATGTTCATCATTGCATGCAATTTTATTTGTAAACAAAACAATTTCGCAATTGGGATCAACATGTTCAAGGAATAGTGATGACTTGCCTTGCTCAGGATAGTCCTTATTCTTGATATAATTCTTGATCAACCTTCACCTCCTGGAAGCTGCATACGTTGCCTCACGACTAACCGATATACAAATTCTATAATACGCGAGAAAAACCAATATTCAAATAACAATCAAATATGTACAAACAAAATATATTTGTTGAGGTCGAACCTAAGGTTGCTCATATTATTCGCGTTTGCTAATGGATTCCAACATGCTAAGGGCTACTTAATCTTTCTGTTGTCTTGGTGGTCTATTCAGGAGCTAATCAATGTAGTATAAATGAGATACGTATCTGGCTAATATGTGGTGTAGTCTAGCTAATGGCTATGGAAGGATTATGGCTACACATGCATCTACCTAAATAAAATGGTCGTATACTAGAGGTTCTGTTGTCGGATGGATTTAGGATCAATCAAATAATGAATCATTTGTATTATTATTTAATTGATGGAGGCTTTACTTTAATTATGAACATATTTCACTTGTCGCAATAAATTACAAAAGGTTAATAATCATCCATGCTTTCTATGTTAGAGTTGTTTAGGTTAATCATATT